CAGCACCTCCTGGCAGTAGACCAGCACCCAGCTAGCCTCTGAGTGATGGTTGCTTTAGCTAAATCCACATCCTGCCACTCCTCCCCAGTTTTATTGCCACACATGGAACCTTAACGGCATGAGTTATGGTTTAGCCATTTGAACTCCATAATCGTGGCTGTGGCCCCCTTCCAGACTCTGGCTCACCCACAGCCTGCTCACCAGTGTGAGGAGTGGAGAAAGCCTTGAGGCTCTGAAAGTTCCCCAACAGGTGTAATGCTGGTGTGTAATCCACTCTGCTTTGGTCGCCAATCTGTACCAGGGTACCAGAGAGCTGCTATGGAGAAAAGGGCCCCATCCCAGCCAGACCCAGCATGGTGGTTGTGACAAATGAGGTGTGATTGTGGATACTCGTGTCTGTCTTTTCCAGGCCTGTGTAGAGCTATACTTGTAAGAAAAAGTAAAAGAAGGCAAAAAATAAAAAAAATTGTACAGAATAGGCAAATAATAGAGACTTGCTGAATTCCCTGCTCAGATTAGGTGTTGTGTCCCCATGCATGTGCATACATCTGCTCTTATTAGTAGGATTCATAGTGGATGGCTTTCATCCGACACTAAGGGAAGAGCTCACCTTTGGACAAAATTATGATGCTGCTATGTGGAATTCTCCTTCATGTGTCCCCCTGATGGGGGCACCCCTAAAAATTTCTGTGTCTGGAATGAGAGATGGACAAGACTTGTTCTTTCAGTCTTCAAGTTGTTGTTTATTTTTCTGTTATCAGTAGTTCTGCATTCCGTCTACATCTCAAACTTAATGTACAAAGAGAAGGCACCAAAGTCACAACACACACAGATTCAAGGTCTTTTAAAGCTATTTTGTCCAATTAACTCTTAGAACATATACTTTATTTCTACCTTTCTACCGATAATTATTTTTCTGTCCACGCAACATCTGCATTGCAGTTCTTTCTAACCAGTCCCCCTGTGCTCCCAACACTGCAGAAAACTGAGTAGATGAAGAACGAGAAGGAGATCAGACAACATCCAAAATCCTCCATCTTGTCTCCTACCCATTTCCATACTAAAAACCCAAAACTCTAAGTATTTTATCCTGTGATAAACTATATTACTATCTATTTCACACACTCAAAGATTCCAATTCATCGCAAAGTCTTGGAAGCTTACTCCATGGAAAAAGGTTAAAAGCAGTGTTTTCTTGAGGATCAGGATTTCTCAGGACAGGCAGAGAAATATTCCCTGTGCCCCGGATTCCAACAGTGCTTTATTGTAGTTACAATGAAAGCATTTTTTAATAGGATATTATCATTATTATAGCACATAAATTACTATTATTAAAATGCCACAGGATTTCTACAAAACAAATTAACATAGTACAAGCTGTAAGTAGTATAATACAGAATTTATAACTAATTCCAACTTATAATTTCCAATCAGTAAATCTTAATTTACCTTATGATGCCTAGTGACTTGAAACCTGTGCAGATCAAGTCAAATCTTAGCCCATGCTTTGCTCTATCAATATAGCAACTATAATTATAGTCTCAAAACATATAAAAGAATAAGTCACTCCCTCCATCCTCAGAGGATGCAAACAATGGTGGAGCCATGCCTGGTACTGGGGGTTGGTGGGTTTCACTGTCCAGCAGCAGCTCTGGTTCAGGTCCCCCCTTATGCCTCATAACTGGGTGGATCTCAGGACTGTGGGCTGCTGCACTTCACCTCCCTCTTCAGTGGGGGCCTGGGACCCTCCAGGGCAGTAAGGAGGGGAGCAGTCACCTTGTGCCCAGAAGCCTTGAGGATGGGAGGGAGGAGAAAAAATGGTTTGTCTGGGTTTTCTTCTGGGTTCACAGATCCTTCAGGGCCTGAGAAAGAGGTGAAGGGTGATGACGATGTGATCCACTCAGTGACAGGTGATGGCTGCTTGCCTCATGAATTGGCATTAATGAGCAGGGGTTGAAGCATGTATACTGGTGGCAGTGGCACACATCAACATTTCTAGAGTGACTTTTCAGGGAAGGCAAGAATGAGGCATGTGCCACTGCTGTTCAGCTCTGAAGAGACCCCTGGTCCCACCAAGGCTTTTAGGGCTCAGAGAACAGTGATGTTAAAGCAAAGGGAAAATCTGGCTCAGCAGACTCCAGGGCAACCAGGAAGGAAGGTCACCAGGAAGGGCTGGGAGTGGAAGCCTGCACCGCTGTGAATGGCAGGGCTCTGCACTTGGTTAAACAAGTAAAAACATTTGTGCTATCTGTAACTGTATCTAGATATACACAATATATACACTATCCAAAATACATTCCTATTATATATAGGTGTTTTGCATGTATAAATATACATACATAGAAGGAGACAACTCAATCCATTTCAAGTGCAGTTCATGACATTAGAATCAAAATAATCTCTATTGAATAGTAGCCCTAACAGATAGAAATGTCATGCACAGTTGTCAAAAAGGCAATATCAAGGTCTAAAATAAATGAAAAAATTATGTCTCAGGTGTTGCATTGCTCTCAGGCTATGCTTTTTCCCTTTCCAGGGACCCCTGTGACTGGGATCTGATAGTATGGTCCCCTGCTTCCTGCCCCAGTGGGACTGACAGAGAGCCAAAGAGCCTCCCTGTCCTGAGCATAGATAAGGCCCTGTCCCTTCCTGGTTCTCTCTCTTTTCCCCTTTATCTCATGGAATAAACAGCTTGGACAATCACATCAGGGGAACTGAAGCCTCTTTGGAATCTTTGCCCAACTCCTGACCTGCCTTTCCTCAAGGCCCCCATATATCTGGGCTAACCTGGTGATTTGGGGGGCTGCGAGGGATAGGTGCGTCGCTCATGGTCTTTAGAACTCCATAAATTGACATGCATGCATGTTTAATGTGAGCTGTGTTACAGCAGCTTGCCTGCCATAGTCTTAAGCCTTTATTTCATATGGAGCTGCTTTCCTGCTATGTGATTTGTTTGGGTCCAGCAGTGTCTGAGTTCCATGTTGTCCTTCAGAGGCTGTTCCAGTGCTCCCTCAGTGCTCTTGCCTGAAGATGACTTGATAAACCATGGCAGGATTGCCTACATGAAATATGAAAAGAGGCTAGCAATGCCATCACTAAGAAGCAGGATTTGAGGATATCCCACTTCCAAGTGCCAAACCTCCTCTAAACCTGCCAGTTTTATGATTTGCCACCACTTTCTCCATTGTCATGCACCATGACTTCCAGCATTACTGCCTTGGCACTTCTCTTCATCATCCCTCAGAGAAAAGAAGGAACGATGTCTGTGGCTACTCTTGTCTTATCTGCCCATGAGGATGGGGCAAGCAGAAGGGACACAGTTGCAGTGCTAACCCTGGACAACTTGGAAAATAGCTCCATCTTATTTCAGCTACTCTGGGATGTCTTCTGTCTCCCTTGAAGGTAACTCACTTTCAAAAGCAAGAGTGCTGGGCACCTTTGCTTTGAGCAAACAATTTTAACCTGTTGTAAACCAAACAATCAGTCCTGGTACTGGGGTAGCCTGGGGCAGCCTGAGCTTTCAGAAAAGGCAGTTCTGTTTCTGTGGTATTAGTGGCTCCCTTGGCCATATCTCAGCACCTGGGAAATTTGGGTAAGCTCTTAGCACAGATTTGTCAGCATGTCCTTTTTCACCAGGCCCTGAGTGCTTCCTCTGCCCTTGTTGTAGAACAATCTCCTCCTGTGCTGTCTCTGTTTATTGTTTTTGGTTATTTTTAGTGCCCGCAAACACATTTCTGCAACACCTATATGCAACATCAGTTTGAAAATTCCACTTATGTATTTCAAAATCTGAACAGTTAATTGGCTTTCTTGAATAATTTTATGGGTTAATTAGGTCATGTAACACTAAATGCTGAATTAATAATCATGAATGGATGGAGTTGTATCCTTATTCTTGAAATGAGGGTCATCACTTTAGAGAAAAGACATTGCAACAAGACTTTAGGACTGTAAGTAAACTTACCAAGATTTAAAATAAACACAGTGGAATCTTGATTTTGACAAATGAGATAAAGCAATCTTTTGTAGACAAAGGAACATAAAAAAGGAAATGTGAGTTCACCAATCTGATTGCAAGCCAACTATCAACCAAATTTATAGATCAGGATTAAGACAATGAAGGACTACTGCTTTATTTTATATTATTTTCCTCACTCAAAGCAGCCATCATATACATTTGCTCATATCAGTTGTTCCTCCCCGAACACGTGACGTAGTAGGAAGTACTTTTCTGCTTTCGGTTACTTTGTGTTTCAAAGGAGGCAAAAGAGATTTGGTGCAATTTCTGACGGAAACCGAACTTTTAAAATCTGTAAACCAGTTACTCCCTGTGCCTCTAAAAATCAAGTTATAGTTCAGAAGTCCTGGATTTATGAAAACTCCCCTCCATTTACCCTGCCTTGATCTCTGAAGGGAATTATTGTTCTATTTTGTTTCCTACATTTCAAAGGTAAAAGTAAAATAAAGATAAGAAGGGCTCTGCATTTTACTAGCACTCAGCTAAAGCTACAGTTTCACTTTACACAGAACTGAAACTCCTTGAGCTTTTAGCTGGTTGCAAAAAGTTCCTAATATTAAAACAAAACAAAACAAAACAAAACAAAAAAAAAAAGATCAACCTGAGAGCAAAAGAAACTGCTAAGTGTTGGCACAGCTATTAAAATTTCCACAGTCTGTAGTCATAGACTCTGAGGGAGCACAGCACCTGTCAAAAATTACAAGGTTGAGTGACTGGACATTGTGTTTTAGAGAACCTTCATGCAAGCAAAGTGTACACTAGACATCTCGTATTCCAGTGACATGTACCAGGAATGTGGCTGGTTACCTGAAGAAATCATTCACAATCCAGCTTGTGCACACTCTTCCACATTGTTTTCACTTCTTTGTATTTGGTTACCTGTGTCCTTATCCTTATCCTTTTTGTCTTGGTTTTCGTTCCCTTTCCCAAGTTCCTTTCACTTAACAGACATTTCTTCCAGATTTCTACATAAAGTATTCAGCTTAAGAGATTTGTCTGCTCATATTAGCGCACAAATGATTCTCAGAAAGATCTGAATCCTTGAAGAAATAAATCCCAAATAATAATTATAAAAATTACTAAACTTCCATGTCATTTAACAATTTTTGTCTCTCTTCATGCAGCTTATATTTTAAAAAGGGGGAAAAAAAAAGGAACTTGAGCTTCTGCAATCTTTGTTGATCACATGAGTATTACCGTTTCATAATGCCTTTGTCTCCTAGATGGTTAATCTCGTACTCTCTCATTAAGGATTTTGAAGTTGCCTTCCTTTGGTGTTCAGATGAAGAGAAAGAAGATATGGTGTAGATTACTGTTGTCTTGAGTGGGTTATGTCATGTAACGTTCTCCCCTACACCTCAGATGAACCACTGGAAACCATTTTGATGCTGTTCTCTTCTGCTCCAGTTTGTGGTCTCTTCCAGAATCTAATCCATCAGACCTGGAAGCACAAAGAATATGGTATGTTCAATTTTATTATAAATTTGCTCTTAGACATTTTTGAATGGAACAGTTGCGAAAGTTTTTCAAGAGCATATTCTGCTTCTCTGTTTTCTAAATGGTTCTCTTTACTGTTATGGTTAAAAGCTGCAGAGAATTATGAAGGGAAAGGATTTTTCTCTATTTCTATACTTCAGAATGAGCATTATATATGTATGCATATGCTTGCTGTAACTTCTGAGATGTTTCTCTAGCATTTCCCCCATGAACAAATATATGGAATCCCAGCAGAAAACCTTCCTTCAGAAACACATAGCTGTACTGTTGCTGAATATTTGAAGAACACCCTAAATCATTAAGAGTTTATGCACGTGCCAGTTAAGATCAGTAGATTAGTTCTTTTCAAACTTCTTATAAAGCCAAGCATAGATTACTGAGAAAAGAACAGCTCCCATACTCTAACTGTACTTTTAAGCAAGCCTCTAATTGCAAAGACATAGCACAAGACAGCATCATTTTTTGCTCTTATTTAGAAGTCTTTTTGTTTTTTCTGGAATGGAAGCAAGGTTTTACACATGTGAATAGCCAGATACAGCACCAGAATGTAACTCTTTGCAGTTCAAATAGCTAATGCATTAAAAAGATTATCAGGAAAGGGAAGAACATATGGAGAAATGAAGCACAAAGATCTAGACTGACTCCAACTACACTTGGGTCCCTAAAAACAGAACTACATGAGAAACTTACAAACATATTCATGAAGACTTTCAAAGGCCAGATTCTTTGCAACTAATTCCAGGCACCTAAATGTACAGCATTACTTTCTGTTTGGTGTGTAGTAAGCCAGAGCTCTCACCATCTTCAGAGCCAAGCAGCAGCTGGAGACGGATCTCTCAGTCTCTCTCTTCCTTCCCTCCTTCCTCTCTTGAGTGTCAGTGCAGTCTAGGTTAATGACAATAAAGTGAGAAACTTGGGTAATCACCTAAAATTAAGGGTCTGAGTGCAATGGCTGCATATATGTTCATTTAGAAAGTTTCTGTCTTCAAGCTAAACTGCAATCATACCTTGCCCATGTCATTCTCTAAAGCTTGGACAGTGTTTATTTTGGTGTATCACATCGTTGAAGGTTGAATCTAATTAGCTTTTCCTCCTGTTGCATTAATTATGTAGCAACTTGGCATAAAATAAGGTCCCTTGCTTTCCACCTGGTCCTCAGAACTCAGAGGGGCTGGGTGTGTCTGGACTTAATTTCTGATTTGAGCCAATTAACTACCAATAAGTCTGGTCAGGTTCCCAGATGCAAAAATAGAATTTCTGATTTGAGCCAATTAACTACTACTAAGTCTGGTCAGGTTCCCAGATTGAAAAATAGTCTGATTTACACTACAAGTCTCATGTCATTCCTGAACATATTCACCAGTTGTGAGTATTACTGATTCATCACTGTAAGTCTGATTTAGTTCAATAAGAACTTCCATGAATACACTTCCATTGCACCAGTAGTGCAATTTATTGGATAATTGATAAATACACTAGACTTGCAACGTACAAATGTGCAGTGCTATGTAAGTGCTCCTAGTGCAAATCTTACCAAAGAAGCATCCCTAGTTTTGTGAAGAGACAGAAATAACTCCATTGACTAGTCCATAAAATTACTGTATTCTCATCCTCTGCCAATGAAGATTTCAAAGGCCAGTTTATACTTTTAGGAGAAGCTGAAGAGACTGTGGTCAAATATTCAGTTACTGCTGCCATTAATGTGGGACAGAGAGCAGCCACTTATATGTAAATGAGCGATATCAAGAGCAACAAAGCAATTACAAAGACTTTGGGTCTTGCACAATGGAAGTACAGAATTGTGAAAGTACAGTACCCGTTTCCGCCTGCCACAGATCTTTCCCTTAGCCACAGATCTCAGGGAAATCCCTTTACCACATATATAACAGCATATGTCATGGCTGTAGGCCTCATTCCCAGATTAACCTCATTCCTTGTTTTTGAGGTAAACTTTGATGTGCAGTGGCTGCCAGTATTGCCCTCTCTGACTGGTGGTTCTGTGTCCATGGCTGGTGCCATCCAGCACTTCATGGGCTGCTGCGGTGTGCATCATCAGATACACAGTAAAGGGTACGCATGTGATGGAGGAAAAATGTCTTGCAGTGCAAGGAGTCTTTATGGTTTCCCTACTAGCTCTCTGCTAGGCTACATGTACACTTGCCTTGGCTAATGTTCCTGGCCCTGGGGGACATTGTTCAGCAATAAAACATGGAGACAAGCAATTGCTAGGATATCATGGGCCATTTGGTTAGGCTAGACACTCTTTCATTAGTCTCATAACATTTTATACATGCATAAAATGCTGTGTCCTCTGGAAAAAAAAAATAGGAAAAAACAATATATGCCTTTAGAAACTTTTAATCCTATTTGCACATCAATTCCTGGTCAGTGTGAGACAAGAACCAGAATTTAGATGTATAGTTGGCCTAACCCAGTGTATATATGAAATACTCTTATTACATTTAACTAATACCTCCATTTTTCCTTGGTTTTAGGTACCTTGTGCAAAGATGTCAAATGCGTTGCCATTTATCTTGCTCTTCATATTCCCACTGCTGCTGTCAGGGGCTTGGTTTCCCAAAACTTTACCCTGTGATGTTAAATCTTCAGAAGGTACTGTGACAGTGGACTGCACCGACCGGCGCCTTACAGAAGTCCCCAGAGGGATCCCTGGAAATGCTACCAACCTTACCCTGAGTATTAACCATATTCCCAATATCTACCCAACATCCTTTGATCGTCTTGAAAATCTCCAGGAGATTGACTTCAGATGCAACTGTGTGCCTGTCAAACTGGGGCCCAAAGATCATGTGTGCACCAGCCCCCTGAAAATTGAGAATGGCACTTTTGCTGCCCTGACAAGACTGAAGTCGTTGTATTTGGATGCAAACCAGCTGGCAGAAATACCCCAAGGTCTTCCTGCTACTTTAACCTTGCTGAGCCTGGAAGCAAACCATGTCTTTTCTATCCAGAAATCCAGCTTCTCGGAGCTAGGAAACATAGAGGTATTGTATCTTGGACAGAACTGCTACTACCGCAATCCATGCAATGTTTCCTTTGAAATTGAGGAAAGAGCCTTCCTGGCACTGAAAAAGTTAACAATACTATCCCTCAAGTCCAACAACATAACACAAATCCCACCCAATTTGTCATCTACTTTAAGGGAACTGTACATTTACAACAACAAGATTCAAGAGATTCGAGAACAGGATTTCAGTGGCCTTCTCAACCTAGAAATTCTCGACCTAAGTGGCAATTGCCCACGTTGCTATAATGCCCCATATCCTTGCATTCCCTGTCCCAAGAGCTCGATTCAGATACATTCAAAAGCTTTTGACTACTTGGAAAACTTAAGGATTTTGCGACTTCACAGTAACTCTCTTCAGAGCGTACCCAGCAGCTGGTTTAAAAACATCAAGGATCTCAAAGAACTTGACCTCTCCCAAAATTTCCTCATGAGGGAAATTGGAGATGCTCAGTTCCTGACATTTCTTCCCAGCCTTGTGCAGCTTGATCTGTCCTTTAACTTTGAACTGAAGGTGTATTCTCCTTTCTTGAATCTTTCTAAGACATTTTCCTCCCTCTCTAACCTGGAAACCCTGAGGCTCAAGGGTTATGTCTTTAAAGAACTGAGGGCAAAAGATCTTCAACCACTGCTCAGCCTAAGAAATCTAACCATGCTGGATCTTGGGACTAATTTTATTAAAGTTGCAGACATGACAGTGTTTGAAGAATTCCCAGCTCTTAAGTTCATTGACCTGTCAGTGAATAAAATTTCTCCTTCTTCAAGAGAAAGCAACTTCTATGGATTTTGCTCTAATCCTGGCATTTCAGTTGAGCAATACAACAAGCAAGTGCAACAAGAGATGCATTATTTCAGATATGACGAGTATGAGCGAAGCTGCCGTTCCAAAGACATAGAGGCTTCTTCCTACCAATCTTTAGTTAAGGAAGATTGCCTTAACTATGGAAAAACTCTGGATTTAAGCAGAAACAATGTATTTTTTGTTAATCCCTCAGACTTCCAGGGACTTAGCTCCCTCAAATGTCTCAACTTGTCAGATAATGCAATAAGTCAAGCTTTAAATGGAAGTGAATTCTCTTACTTGTCTGGATTGAAATATCTGGATTTTTCTAACAACAGGGTTGATTTGCTGTATCAAATGGCTTTCAAAGAACTAAAATTATTAGAAATTCTAGATCTGAGCAATAACCAGCATTATTTTGTGGCAGAAGGTGTTACTCACGTTCTTAATTTTTTGAAAAACCTAGCCCATTTGAGGAAGCTGATGATGAATGAGAATGACATTTCTAGCACTATTGATACAGGAATGGAAAGCCAATCTCTTAGAATTTTAGAATTCAGAGGAAATCGTTTAGATGCTTTATGGATGGATGGCAATGCTAGATACTTGTCCTTCTTTGAAAATCTGACCAGTCTGGAAGAACTGGATATTTCCTTCAACTCACTTAGTTTTTTGCCTCATGGTGTTTTTGAAAAAATGCCTCCCAGTCTGAAGATCCTCAACTTAACAAATAATCAACTGAAGAGTTTCATCTGGGGAAACCTCCCCTCTCTGAAGAACCTAGTAACTCTGGATCTGAGCAATAACCTTCTGACTAATGTTCCCCGAGAGCTGTCCAATTGCACTTCATCTCTCCAAGAACTGATGCTCCGAAACAATCGCATTCACACGCTAACCAAATATTTTCTCAGAGGTGCTTTTGAACTGAGGTACTTAGACCTCAGCTCAAATAAGATTGAAATAATTAAGAGATCTAGCTTCCCTGAAAATGTCATTAACAACCTGAAGATGTTGCTTTTGCACGGCAATCCTTTTAAGTGTAACTGTGAGGCTGTGTGGTTTGTCTGGTGGATCAATCGGACGCAGGTGACCATTCCTCTTCTGGCCACTGACGTCACCTGTGCTGGCCCAGGGGCACATAAAGGCAAGAGCGTGGTTTTCTTGGATCTGTACACCTGTGAGCTGGACACGTCGTATTTGATCCTGTATGCTCTGTCAGCTTCGGCCATCCTTGCCTTGATGGTGTTTGCAGTGATGAGCCATCTCTACTTCTGGGATGTGTGGTACAGCTACCATTACTGCGCTGCCAGGCTGAAAGGCTATCGGCGCTTGTCTTCACCAGCTGCTTGCTACGACGCCTTCATTGCCTATGACAGTGAAGATCCAGCTGTGAATGAGTGGGTGCTGCAAGAGCTGGTTGAAAGGCTGGAAAACCAAAAAGCCAGGCAGTTCAATTTATGCCTGGAAGGAAGGGACTGGCTCCCAGGACAGCCGGTCTTTGACAACCTTTCCCAGAGCATTCAGCTGAGCAAAAAGACCATCTTTGTGCTGACCAACAGGTACATTAAAAGTGGCCGCTTCAAGACAACATTTTATATGGCTCATCAGCGGCTTCTGGATGAAAAGATGGATGTCATTATCTTGGTATTTCTTGAGCAGGTTTTGCAGAAGTCCCGCTATGTCCGTCTGAGGAAGAGGCTGTGCAGAAGTTCAGTCCTGGAATGGCCAACTAATCCTCAATCTCAGCCCTACTTCTGGCAGTGCCTGAAAAATGCCATAGCTATGAGTAATTCTCTGGCTTACAACAAGCTTCTCCAAGAAACTGTTTAGTTCTACCCTTTCCCTTAAATTTTGTTATGATGCACAAGACAAAAAAATCCTCAACAAAGCATTCTGAACTTAATTTGCAGAAACTGTCAAAGCAGGGAAGATATACCTTTTTGATGTTATACCCCAAGATGAAAGGCACAATTTCTCTGAAATTCTATAATTCCAAATTGAATAGAAAGTGTTACCAGAACAGATATTTAGTTGACATGCACTTTGCTTTGTGCTGATATCTGCACCGCAAGGGAAGATGCTAAAATGGGAAGGTATGGTAGTTCAGGTTCTGTAGGGCTTACAATTTGCTTTGTGAAAGCAAGGAAGGGGAGCAGGACAGCAGAGGGGAACAGGCACAAGGCAGGTGATGAAAGTTGAGTAAATCAAGGAGGAGGTGAGACTAGACAAAGAAAGGAAAGTAAAAGGAAAAAAAGAGAAAGTGGAAGTAGTGGTAAGAAAGGAGAAACATGCAGCTATACTATAGCATAGAAGAAGTTCAGATACATTTACTGCCAATTTCCAAATAAAGTTTTCACTTTGCCTTTCATCTGCCTCCTGGGCTGTTGGCTGAGCTGGCTCCTCCCTGAAGACTTTAGAGCTCCTCTCTAATGTTGTACTATCTGTTTGAGGACCTTTTCCACCCAAGCCATGAGTGACCACTCTTTCTATAGTTTGGGTGTTTGCTGCTCTCGCCAGGGCTGGAGCCTGAGGACATGCCACCTGTCCCCAGAAGAAAATTTAGACAGAATTTGGAAGTGAAAAGCATGTAAGATCAGGTCTCACAAGGAAAACATTCCCGTTTCTTTAGCTGTGCTGTGGTTCTCCAGAGCAGCCTTAAGCCCTCCTTTGCCTCTTTGTTCCTCAGGTAGGTCCCTCTCCCACAGCAGCTGAAGTAGCGCTACTAAACACTTGAGATAGGAATGGGTTTGACTTTAGGGACAACCTGAAGAAATGAAGAAACATAAACACCTGTGCCTGTTCCCCACTCTGTTTCACAGTACAGACTCGTTGAACACATGAGAGTATTTCAAGTGAAACTTTTTGTAATGGTAGCCTCAGCCTCTGAGCATGACATAGGCAGGTTCTCTGCTTGATGTGATGATGGCTGTTTTGGGAGAAGCAGCACATTTTCACCTTGCTGGGTGCTTCTGTCTGCAGCAGTCTGGGCAGCTTCTCCCCTCTTGATCAAAGCCCTTTTTCTTTTCTGGCAACTAGTCTTGGTGACATCTCTGCCTGATATTGTCACTGTTAACTGCTTTAAACTTGTTTATTTTAGATGCCACCTGCATTTCCTCACCTAAGTGTTCTGGCTGATTCTTTCTTTTGACAAGAAGACAGAAAAAAAAAAAAAAAAGAACACAAGAAAAGAAACTTCATATAATAATATTACAGATTAGAAGTGGCTTTCCCTCTCAATTTTTCATAACATTTTTACTGATTGAATGTAGACGTAGGAAAAAGATGAGGACCTGGTTAAAATGGGAGGTTTAGAGTTATATTTTAATAATGTGTATTTCTGGTGGTTTTGTTTGTAAGCCTAAACAATCTGTATGAATAAATATAACATAAGCTGTAATGTGACTCTCTTCATAAGGTAGTACTTGAAACAGGAACCTCTATCCCACAGTTACTCCCACACCATCTCCCTCTGCCTCCCCACAAAATATCTATTTGGAGCAGATCCTCTTTCTCAGCCTCACTGACAGGGGCAGGAACACTAGGTCACTTAGCCTTTCTGAGGTTGAGATGAGAGGTATTTTTTCCTCTTCCATTAAGAAGCATGCACAGGATGGGTATGAGATGAGTAGAAATGAGTAGAAATTGATATAGGTATTAAGGGAGGTGATGAGGAAAGGTATCCTCTTTGATTTGTTGCTTGTTAACAAGAAGGTCTTATGGGTGAATTGGTGATTGGTGGACATTTTGGACCATGAAGCAGTTGAATTTAAGATATCTAGTGACAGGAGGAAAATAGCCAGGAAAATTCTGAATGTGAGAAGAGTAGACTTCAGGCTGCTCAGGGAAGTCTTTTGTAAGGTCCCCTAGTAAAATGGTTTTGAAGATTCTGGGATCTACCAGTGTGGTCAAAATTTAAACACCAACTTCTTGGAGCACGGGAACATGTAATTCCAAAATGCTTGAAATAAAACTGGTGAGGCAGAAGGCTGGCTTGGCTGACCAGGGATCTTTCTGTGGAGCTAAGGAAGATAAAAGAAAGTGTATGGCCAGTGAAAGGAAGGCTGAGTGACTGGGGAAGATGTTGTGGTTTAATCCCAACTGGCAAGTAAGCACCATACAATCATTCACTCACTTCTCCCCATGGTGGGGTTGGGAAGATGAATCAGAAAAGAAGTATAACACTTGCTGGTTGAGATAAGGACAGTTTAGTAGTTAAAATGAAGTAAAATATTGCAACAACAACAATAGTAAGAAAAAAATCAAGAGAGAGAGACAGAGGGAGAGAAGAAAACACATGAATGACAAGCAGTGTACAATGAATAGCTCACCACCTGCTTACTGATGCACAGCCCATCTCCACACCACAATCAGATCCCATTCTGTGTTACTCCACCAGTTTATATACTGGGCATGACATTCTATGGCGCGAGATACCCCTTTGGCCAGTTGGCACAGCTGTCACAGCTGTGTCCCCTCACTTGGGCACTTCTCTCTGGCAGAGCTTGGAGCTTGTTTGCCTGGTTGGTGTAGCTGTGTCCAAATTACAAACTACTGAAGAGTTCTGAGGTTTCTGTACATGAGGGTGTTGTGATAATATAGCTTGTGATTTGGTGTGAGGTCCATTAGGAGGAGGAACTATGAATTTTTTTCCAATTTAAAAGTGGACTTTTACAGCTGCACTAACAAGTCTATATGTCATTCTCCCTTCAGAGGGCAGGTCATAGAGACATTTCATGAATATCTCATCCTAATGCATGAGTTTAAGAAGGATGCATGATGCAATTATTTTAATTGCAACCCAAAAGTAGGGTTTTCCTCCATTAGCTCTGTAGGTGTTTGCATTGAGAATACTTTCAGTAAGGCAAAGTGGCTGCTGCTCCAGGTTTATGTGTGCAGCAAGTTGGTCTTGAATAACCATTTCATATGGACATCAAAGTATCTGATGTACTGTAAACACCCACTGTGATGACCAAAGAATGTTCTGCATCAATTGCTGCTTCCTTACAGAAATTGTAACAGACCATGGCTAGATTTAGTATTTAGCCTATGTGGCCTGGAAAAACCATACATGGAATGTAAGAAGCAGAAAGAGGATAAAGGAAGAAGAATATTGGTGAATTAACTGATTTTTTACCATTCTTTTGGAATTGGAAGAAAAAAATGTGCTATTTGCATTACTGCCACTAGTGTGACACAAAAATAGTAATCACTGAAATTTGGTAAGAACCATCTATACTTACAGCACAGGTTTATATGACTATAAAATCCTCTCTGATTTCTTTGATCTCTCTGTTTTTAAGAACTGACATATGAGGAACTTGCAGGTGCCTTCCCTGTGAAAAAAAATTTATATTTGAAGTAACTTCTGAAATCAAAGCAAGTCTGATTTCAACATAGCTTGTTTAGTCTCTTGTTCTGCAATAAAATTGGGGTGCTATGTAGCAAGCATGATATTCCATAAAGAAACTTTATAGCATCTTTAAAAATACACTGTGAGTAGATCACATTGGGGTCAACAGGCCCTCTACAACCGTGAACCTATTTTTTGTCTTCTGACTAACCCTGCATTTTCATTTCCTCAATCTTGTTCTGAAAGTATCTGCCTGTAGAAATTAACCCTATGATAGATTGTTCATTTGGAAAAAAAACAGCCACGGGCCAATTTTCTCCATTTTCTGTGAAGAAGATATTCAGATCATTTTGGTTATAATTACTCTCAGTTGCCTCTGGATGAGATCAACTTCACTGAATGTCTGTGGAAGTTATTTTCCTAATTTGGGAAGACAGATCTTGTGTCAAAATACAAAAGACATACACATTAATCCATCATTATCTCTAGAAGTATAGTGATAAAAATAATGCACAGAGAAGTCAAATCATTTCTACTAAATCCATATGCTGCTGCTGATATTAAAAAGGGAATCTGGATCTCCAACTTCAAAAAGCAACCTGTTGGCATTCCTTAGTTAATGAGCACTTAAAGGTTATTATACATGGGAATCTTTAATTAGAAAAATAGCCAAAATGAGAATCAAATGTGTACCTGGTGAGAAATTTTTAATTTGGGTGTGTAAATTATGAGACAGTAGGAAGCCCTACTGAGTTCTGCAAACTAAGGTGGTAAGGGTGGTTTCTTTTGCTGGGACAGTATCTTTGTTCAAGATGTTCAGTACTGAACTAAAGAAGTATACCAGAATAGCCACAGATCAAAATCCATGCCCTTATCTCTCTGTGTTTTCTTTCCTTTATTGTTTATGCATACTGCTAAGGGCAACATTTTGAGCAAAAGCATCTCAGGTAACTTGAGCTTTTTTTAAAGAGAAACTCCCATAAAATCAAAATCATCTTTGCAGATGAGAATTCAGAAACATATGAGGAAATAAAGTTTCAGTCTTTTTTTAGCAATGATAATATTGAAAGGGTGATAATAGATTTACATAATTCTGGAAAACTGGCAAGTCGTAAAATGGAAGGCTTCCACTTTTGGTTTCTAAATATTTTTCTGAATATTTTCTTTCATTTTACAATCTAAGTTCTAATCACACTGTCTTAGCTATGTGGTTTATCTGTGTCATACTCCCCATAGTAATATCTGCAACTCTGGTATCATATATCTTATCAGTATTTTATTAGGATTCCACAAGAGCAAGAAGGTCTGAAAGTATGTGTTGCTTAAAACCACACACGCCCAGTCTTGTATTTTCCAACAGACAGAGTAGTTTTCAACTAAAGAACAATCTGTAAATAAGTCCTTTGTGAATATGCCTTCTTTCCCTGATATTATTTTTTATGGTTTTTACTTTGCTAACTGAAGACATAATTGAAATCTAATTTCCAGCTGACCTCCCACAGTGACAAATTGCTTTCAGTGTAGAAGAACAAAGAAAAAATTCCTGAAACATAGAATAAGAGAAGTTTTAGCTTAGACTCTTATTGGCTGGTTTCCAGATGATTCTTTGCCATAATTTACCCACAGTATTTGAGGTCCACAAGTCCGTATGGAAGGATTATATTCATACAAGATTATGCTCTTAAACATTGCAACTGAATCCTGCATTCTGTTAATAATAAAATTCCTTAACCTAATTACTTTGGTCTAAGACTTACTTTTAGTTCCAGTATTAACTTAGGAAAAACAATCAGTAATCCATGTTCTTGCTTGTCTATCCGGAACTTCTATTCATGATGCAAAAGAAAGAACTTCCAAAGAAAGAATTTTATTGACCCTTGCTCCTTTGGAAAAAGAAATGTCATAGTCCTTCCATGCTTCCCTGTAGTTTCTCACCTTGCATGTTCCTCTCAGAAGTTCCACAGCATCACTGTGACAGAGTGTGTTGTGGTGCTCCTGAAGAACAGGATTCATCCAGAAGGTCCTGGGCAGGCTCAGGAAATGGGCCCACGGAAATATCTTGATGTTTAGTAAGACCAAGTGGAAGGTGCTGCATCTGGGTCAGGGCAACCCTCAGTACCAACACAGGCTGGGGGATAGAGAGCAGCCCTGCCAAGAAGGACTTGGGGGTGCTGGTGGATGAGAGCCTGGACATGACCTGGTCATGTAGACTTGCAGCCCAAGAAGCCAAACATGTCCTGTGCTGGCCAACAGGGTGAGGGAGGGGATTCTGCCCCTCTGCTCCACTCTGGTGAGAGCCCACCCAGAGCACTGCTTCCAGCTCTGGGATCCCCAGCACAGGAAAGACGTGGACCTGTTAGAGCAAGCCCAGAGGAGGCCACCAAGACGATCAGAGGGATGGAGCACGTCTCCTATGAGGAAACGCTGAAAGAACTGGGATCATTCAGCCTGGAGAAGAGAAGCTTGGGGTGACCTAATTGTGACTTTGAGGACCTGAAGAGAGCCTAGAAGAAAGATGAAGAGGAACTTTTTACAAGAGTGTGTAGTGGCAGGACAAGGGAGAGTGTCTTCAAACTGAAAGGGAGTAGGTTTAGATTAGATAATAGGAAGAAATGCTTTCTGTGAGGGTGGTGAGACACTGGAACAGGCTGCCCTGAGAAATTGTGGATACCCCATCCCTGGAAGTGTTCAAGGCCAGATTGGATGAGGCCCTGAGGAAGTTGGTCTAGTGGAAGGTCTCCCTGCCCATGGCATTGGGTTGAAACTATTTGATCTATAAGGCCCCTTCCAACTCAAGTCATTATACTCTATGATTGGAACATTGGAATCTCAATTTGATGTATTAAGTCCTTGAGGAAGAATATTGTTGAGACAGTTAGTTCTTCCTGAATCCTCACATTCCTGTCTGCTCATCACGTGCCCACCTATCACTTGGACATAACTGTAACAACGTTTATTTGTATTCCACGGACAGATACAAGCAAGATCTCTGTGGTTGCTCTTGGGGGATGAAGTTTATTCAGGACGCAGAAAGGCCCTGCCTCGAGCTGCTAGACACAGCACGTGGCTGGGCCTAAGGTGATGGGGGAGGGGAGAGACAGAGAGGGGAGCAGGGACTCCCGGAGGACGCTCCAGGAGGAGAGGGGAAGATCCAAGAGAGCGTCCAGCCCCCCGGAGACCCCTTATCAATGGGGGCTCCAGGGTGGGCTGGAACAGGACCTGGGCCAATGGGGTCACAGGCACCTGATGGTTCAGGGGAGGGTTACAGATGTGGGGTGAACCATACATTCTGGGGGGTGACATGGAACAGTCCATTTGGCTTTTGGACCCCGTTGTAGGTGAGGGTAATTGTCCAGCCAGTAGGGGGCGTTATATTCGTCCTGGCTGTACCATTGTGGTTCTTAATCATATTTATCTACCCTTCCCAACACATAACAATTTTACTTATTCTTTTTCATAACACATTTTTTTGTTGCCCTCCCTTATTTCACTTTCACTCTGCATTTTATGAGGGAACTTTTTCTGAAGAGCAAACAAGCTGACTCACCAGTGATCTCAGATGTCAATTCTTTAGTCATTATGTTTTGTTCTCATTTTAGATGACAAAATAATTCACGCTAGCTATCCAGTATGAGATACTTTGTGTGCATATGCATTAAATAAAATCACATCTGGGAAACACTTTGTGTCAGTCTACAGTGATGCTGATGACACACACCTGTATTGCATATTCAGACACATTTCTTCATCTAACTCCAGTAAAACCACTGCATTAGCTGCCAGAATTTCTTTCTCATTTCTACATGTAAACACAGCACAAATTAATATTTAATTTTTTTTCTTAATTATGTAAGTGGTTTGAGTAATTTTGCATCTGCATGGTTATGTGTCACAGTGTAGTGTAGGAATACCTACACTAGAGAATTGCATTATGTTTCAGATTTGTTGCTGCATGTGATCCAGCTGTTACTATAAATAAATTTTGAATTATCAGTGTAGAGGAATTCATAACATTTTCATCATTTAAGCTTTTCCTTCAGGCCAATTTTTAACCTACTGGAGAGGATTTGAAGGTTTTTAACAGCTGATGCCAACACTTTCTACATGTTCTATTCATGTGAAGGTGTTTGCCCTGAATTAAATGAACAGAGTGCAATCTAATTTCTCCTTGGTCACTTTAATACAGACTATAAGCACGCTGCTTGATCTGTACTACAGGATCAATACCTTATTTTAGTATGTAAAAAGTAGAATCAACAAACTTTGAGTTCAAGTCAGGCCATGGAAGGAATAAAGAGTGATCCTAAAAGCATTATTTTTTTTTAGAGGATTTTAGCAGTTTTGAGAGACTTTAGATTTTGATACTGGACTGAAATTGGCACATTAAGTGCAAGGAATGTCACCAGGAGAGGTCTTCAACCTATGTATAGATAAAATGCAATTTTCTCAAGTTTAAAAAAGTTGAAGGAATTACATCTTAATGGCAATGATGAATGGAGACAATACCTAGAGGCTTTCCACCTCCTTTACCTGATTAGGTCTCATGCCCATCAGCATCTTTCCCATTACAATACCTTCTCAGTCTTGAAGGAAATTGGTGGGGGTTGGAACTGGGACTTTAGTGAACCCTATGGAAAATATCTTCCTGCAGAACTTAGGGCTGTCCTGCTCTCACCAACCTGACCATGTTGTTACTGTTCTCCATTAACCTAACCTGAGTGTGAGCTTCCCTACCCCTATCTCTACAGCACCTTGATCTGAGTCAAAGTGCCTCAATTGCACTTCTCCACTTGAACTTTGCTCCGGAAAATCTTGTTTTCAAATACACCCCTAAAAAAAAAGACTTTAATTGTGACTCCACAAAATACTTGCTGTATGCTTCCAAAAACTGCCAGAGCTGTGAGTAAATCCCCTCTGCATCTGATTTCCTCAGTCAGGTCACAGCCTCTGGAAAGGTTGTACAGAGTTCATCTGCTCTGGAAGAGCAGGATTTATTTTTCAATTACCAGAGGCAATCCAGTCATGGTATTGAAACCATTCTCAAAACTTACAATCCCTAAAATCACTGTATATAGAGGAAGTCATCATTTT